CTAGGAGAATAAACCCAGCTTTCGAGACCATATGGCGCAATGGACTTTGGAAGGCACGCACCGCTGGCGCTGTTCTCGCAGTCATTGAATTGTAACAATCCATTCTCAAAGAAGCCGAAATTTCAACTACGATTCAACCGTGCTGTCCAACCTGTCCCAACTTGTCCTTCTCGAGAGCTGTTGCATTATTCGAGCAATGAATACTTGGGCCTATCGGTGTACTGTACAAGTGTCGGTAGAAGAGCCGGCATATAGGTCCTATTCGCGAAGTCTTGGAGCTTTGTGAAAGCTTTCGCCCTCGCGTCTGTTTCTTTCTTCGCTTTTTCCCAGTGTGATTGCGCGTCTATGGCTGCTCGGGTGTGGCACGATAAATGATCGCTATCAACCCCACTGTCCCCAATGTCTAGTCTACTGGGCACATGGTGTTTTGCTAGAAATTTGTGATGCCTTTTTCGGAGTTACGGGCGGAATGGAGAAGACGGCTTGGTAGCATTTGCGACGGGGTCTTTACGCAGTGCGCGTCCTTCTCGGCTCTTACTGAACATTGTCTATCTGCGTATTCAAGTTGATGGGCGGCTTCCGCAGGCGAGGTGAAATTGGTGGGGTCAACAAATTGTGCATGCATTTTTCGAAAGACTTGGGAATTTGACAACGCAACGACGGTCTACCGAGCTTCTACCTTTCTTCTCTATGTCAAACTCACTTCATTCTCACATCTCATCCATTCTCACATCCATTGAGGTTGTTGGGAAAGTGAGAGATCCAGCTTCACCCTCACTCATTGCAACATGCATTTCATATTGTACGCTACCGAACTTTCCCTCATCGACCAGGGCACTTGGTCTAGGGGTATGATTTTCGCTTCGCAACAACAAAAGTTGAGTATGTGAAAGGTCGTGGGTTCAATTCCCACAGTGTCCAGTCTTTTTGGCATTTTTTTGCACCCCAACCCACCTAGCGGAGAACATGGAGGGCCAGGAGAACAATTCAGCCTCTCCAAAATCATTTTCCGTTTTGGTATTGTTGTCGCTTCGGCTTGTTGTAGTGGATAGGGAGCCCGCACCAGCATGGCGCGCAAATGGTTCGTGAATTGAAAAGACGCCAACAGCACGACCACGAGTCCAAACCTTGGCCATTCCCCATCGCCGAAAAGGGGCGAAAGGGGTAGAATTGACCGTGCGTATCTGATTACCTGACCCTATCTCTAGAGCTTCCCCCTTTCTAACCAGGTCAATCTCCGAACGTGCTCCTTCCAGCACCAACGACTTTTTGTTGATAGACACAAGATTGAGACCTCCCCACTGCCCCCATGTTTGATGGCACAAAGATGGTCTAGCCGCATTGAAGGAGCCTAAATTTTGGCAGGCAATTGGGTAGGCGGTCAGGAGTCGGCACGGTCGAAGTCGGTTCGAAGAGGGCATTTTGTGGTAATGCTGTCGCTGCTCGCAGTTTGGTTTCTCCAACTATGACCTGCCTGCTATGCCGAGTAGTGGGAAGGCTACCTCCGGGGTGCAATGGCAGAAAAACGGGAAGGGGGGTCGGTGGGATCTAGAGATTGATCACGGTGCGGATTGTCGACAGAAGCATGACGGCGCTGTCAGGCTTCTGTACACGCCTGCTGTTGGTACGAGCGAAAGATGGCCACGAGGAGAAGAGCGTTGATTGGAATCAAGATGTCGACATGAAGAAAAGCTTGGATTGCTCAACCGAGCCGATGAGCATTCCTGGAAATAGAAACAGAACGCTTCGAAGCCAGGCCGTCCAGCGAAAGAAATGCTAAAATCCTTTGAAGGGAATCAAAAGAACAACACAAATCTTGCCCAACTTACGAAATATCCGGATAGCAAGCATACCTCGCATCCTCCGGCCGCCAGCCGATGCACTGATGGCACGTAATCAGGTTATCCGGATCGACCCTCCTCTTGATCGCATACAACTTGTCGTAATTCTCGCGTCCCCAAAACGCCTCCTCGTAGCCCGACTGGAACGTGTCGGCCTCGTTCTGGTAGACGCCGCTGCCTGGCGTGATGGCCGCCAGCCGCTCCGCCGCGTCGTGTGCGTCCGCAAACGCCTGCCGCGTGTCCAGCGGCGTCGCCTCGTTGGCCGAGTTGGGGACTGAGTTGACGAAGACTTCCCACGTCGCGTTGCGCCACGCCGGTGTTATGCTGCTCGTGTCGCGTCCGCCGGGTAGCTTGTAGTTTGTGGGTCCTACGGCGAAGATTTGGACCCGTGGGCCGTAGGAAGGCGAGTTGGGGTCGCCGCCGGGTTGGTTGTATTTGCGCACCAGACTCTCAAGGAGGTCGACGAGCTGCGCCTGCTTGCCAATGTCGTCCAGATTGGCGCGTGGGATCAGGCGGCTTCCGATTGCGGTGGGCAGGCCGACCTTTTCGCCTTCGCCGTATCCCAGATACTTGGAGTAGGCTTCCCAGGCTGTGGCAGCCGTGTTAACAGACATGACGACCGGTCTGACGCCTGGAGTGGACGCAAAGTCGAGGACCGGCTTCATGTCTTGCACGGCGGCCGAGTGGTCCAGCTTTGGCGTTAGCAGGGTCATGGCAGAGGCAGTGTCGCCTGCGGCGCCGGGCGTGATGTAGCCTCCCCAGCCGCCATCGGCCCACTTGTTGGCGTTTTGGACGAGCAGCGTGAGGAACTTGCGCAGAGTCGCTGGATCGGTGGAGGTGTACGCAAAGTTGGCGACCTGTCATCGTCAGGCGTGTTGATTTATATTGTTTGACAGTGCACTTACCTGAAATTGCATCTTTGGCCAAGTCTTCATTGTCACTTCCACATTAACGCCAAACGTACCCCCGCCCCCGCCTCGGAGCGCGAAGAAGATGTCCTGATTCTGGCAATCATTGGCGGTAACGAATCGGCCATCCGGCAGCACCGCTTTGATCTGCACCACGTTGTCGACGCCGAGTCCCAAAGTGTTCGACGCAAATCCGTGCCCGCCTCCACTGAGCCATCCTCCTGCCGCTCCCACAGTCGACGACGTCCCCCCGGCAATCGTGACCCCGTTATCTTCAGCAAACTTGTACAAGTCGCGCATACCCTGTCCGCCACCCATCGTAATTCCGTCACCAGATAGCGCCGGGCATCCTTCTGGCTGGAAGCCTTTTTCCAACTTCAACGGCGGTTTGAGGTTCGTGAGCCAGAGCGCGAGCGAATTCGGCGCCGAGCTGCGGCCTTTGTAATCATGTCCAGTGTTCTTGATGGAGAGAGGCGTCTTGGTGTTGCGCGCAAAACTAAAGGCGGCTTGGATGTCCGAGACTTTGCGCACGTCGATGTAAAACGGCGAGACGCTGCCCTGGTGGCACTCGCGGGGCGGCGCGAAGTTGGCCGGGTCGCTGGGCTTGACGAAGTCGAGGTTGCAGGAGGACGCGTTTTTTTGACAGGCGGCCCAATTGGTCTATGTTTTATAAGTGGTCGGAGGAGTTGATGACGGGGAGTCTACCCACGTTCATGAAACCCGCATACTGTGTTACGAGTGCAAGATCAATCTTCCAACTCTTGATGGCCTGGTCGCAGAGAGCCTTGTCTGGAGGCGACGATGCGCCTTCATAAACGCTGTAGCATGGCTTCGCAAGAGGATAGCCGCGAAACAGGCGGCCTTCGACAGTCTTGTTCAAAGCATCCCAATCCTCTGGCGTCGCGGCGCCGGACACCGCAGCAAAGAACGTGTAAAAAAGAGGAACCAAAAAGAGTGTAGAGACCATGACGATCAAGCAAAGGAATGTCGGTGCGAGTTACACTTAGGTTAGTTCACGGAGACCAGTCGCATATATCCTCCTGTTCTCGCCGGCCATATTTCAGGGTCTCTAGCAAAAGCCCCAGTTACCACATGCAGCTACCTCTGCTGATCAGCATGTACGTACTGTGGCTTACATGATGGAACCATTGGATCGGAATGATTCCTGGAGCGATGGTGTCCTTTTCGGTCGCGGCTAGTTAATATACACGCGGACGCGGCGCAGAATGGTCGGGCTTGGTTGTCCGAAGCACGCGAGGTGTCGAGCAGAGATCCCAGCAGTTGGGGATGCGGCTAGATGAGCTTGATGTTTCAGGACGTGCGCACCTTGCATAGCCTCCCGATGCTTGACCTGAAGTTAACTGAGAATCTTAATGCGAGCGTCGTCTGTTGGTCAAAGAAAGGGAAGATTTGCGCTGTTGTTGTGCTGTTGATGGGAGAATCCCGCATGTCCATGTTTCCGCTGGGCAGATCAGGAGCATGTCAAGCTATTATATCCAGCTGTTCTGCTGGAAGGACCATGACCTGCTTGTAAGCCATCTCATTTCTCCAGGAAGCTGAACATATAAGCTGAAGATGAACGCCCATGAGTAATTCAGAGCTCTTTCCTTGTTGTCATGGAAGAAGCGAAGGGGTCAAGAGATGATGCCCGTATCAATGCTTGCGCTTTTGAATAGCCGCGTTTCCAGGCAAAAAGCAGCGATGGGCACTGGCAACAGCAGTTTGGTTGTTGGATGAAGGTTGCGTCAGAGTCAAGCCTCATTGGTGTAGCCAAGTTTGCCAAAGATGCAAACAGCGCACGAGCCATCGACCATCGACAAGGACCTGATGGACAATCGCTCTCCTGCGCAAACAATATGAAGTGGGACAATTGGAAAGAAAAAGAGTCGGAGAAGGACTCTTTCATGGTGGAGTCGGTTCTGGTTGCTACTCAGGACAACCTCACAATTTTCCAACTGACTGGTCTCAGGAAATCCAGCAACGCCAACAATTGTCAAACGTCCGGCATTTTGATTGTTCTTGCGAGGTTCTCGCACATTGCCAATGGTCAACCTGCAGGATAGATGTGATATCCATCCCTGTGTTAAGCGAAGGGCCAATGAAGGGGAAAATTCAATCACCACTTGCCTTCACAATACTCTCTCACTCAACAAATAATGCAGAACCTCACTTGCATGGTTTTCAGAGGTGAGCAAAAAGCAATTCACTTGCTATCCACACCTAGAGGATCCAAGGAAGCAAGGGCAAAAAGTACGGGAACCGAGGTTTGAACTCGGGACCTTCAGTGCACAACATCGTCCTCCTCAGGAGTCCATATGTTAGACTGACGTGATAACCAGCTACACCATCCCCGCGTTTATGAACAAGCGGCTGATTATACTGTTTATATTCTCTGCAATTCTGGAGCGGGTTTCTTAGAGTTGATCCAAAAAAACTGCATCTCCCGGGGTTCAGCCGCAACCCCAGCTCAGAATTTCGCTTACACAGCATCGACGGAGAGCCTCCTATTGGTTGATTTCTTGAACCGAGGGCTGTACCGATTTAAACGCTAGAACAACAACTGGATGGGCAGTAGCAAGTCTGAAGAACAAGAATTGTGCGGGGAGAAGTTGCCAGACCTAAGCTGGGAAGCGGCAGCGGCGGAGAAGATCTGAGAATGACTCAGGCAAACAATACTTGGCGGGCGGCTGGCGCAGCATCCAGGACCATGTGCCCGGTTGAGAGGGCCAGTTTTTTGACCTCATTCACCGCTGAAAACATGATCGGGGGAAGGAAGAGATTCTGTCAAAGTCTAGCATGTGCAAGAGGTGGGAACCCACGCAAATGAGACATTGACGTCAAAGCCCGTGGCGGTGTCGAGTTGCCATGTTGGAGCCAAGATGCTGTGAGCCTGATTGACAGAGGCGGCCATTGTTTGCGTGCTTTAAGACAGCAACCTCATGGATAGAGGCGGTGCGGAGGAGTCGGATCGGATCAGAAGACAAGGACAGTGATGGACGTATGCTGGTCGCCTGAAAGAAGCGGAATGCTGCAAGATGAATCGGCGGCAGAGGCAACGCAGGAGATGAAAATAGATGTCGCGCAGCATCAGATGGCAATGTGGAGAAGTCGACCGCTTGCAAGCAAACAATAGAGTCATGATTGCGAAAGAGCGGTGGTGTGAGTGCCAGCAGTCTGTCACTTTCTACATGACCATGACGCGCGATAAGAGATGCTGCGATAAGGGGCCGCTGGGCTGCAGGCAGGCAGCCGCACCTCACGGCCAGACTCAAGCATCAACCCAGCCACAAGCCCAGAGATACCAAATATCCCCTCACCTCGACATCGCGACAAGACATTTGCTCCGCCCGCATCCACCACACATCTCGACATCCTCCCCGTGGGCTCCTCCAGTAGTTCCCAAGCGACCTACCGCCCCGACCAGCGCCCCGCTCCGCACTGACGTTGACCCCTCGCATTGTCCACCATCGTCACCGCCGCCCGAGTCCATCCATCCATTTCACCACCACCAAACTCCAGAGTCAATTTCTCCCTGGTCTAGAAATCATGGTTCACCCAGGGCCTCGCTCACCGCAGCTACCGCCTTCCTCCTCCTCCTCGAGCCCCAGCGTCTCGCAGCGCCAGAGCTTCGTCGAGAACCTGCGGGGAATGCCCAACTCGCCGCGCGCTTCGCGCCAGCCCTCGCTCTCTCAGCAGGCCCTGCAAGAATTGCTCGCAAACCCTCCCATCGGAAAGCACGCTCAGAACAATGCTTTTGCTGGTCGCGACTGGAGATCCATCCGCGTAGGCGAGGTCATTGACCCCGACCTGGTTCGCTTCGTCGACATTGATGCCAGCGTCGAGGAGGCGACCAACGTGAGTCTCCTTTGCGGGGCCCCGCACATTCTACAACCAAGGGGCGCTTTTGACTGACTGTCATATCCAGGTCCTCATATCTTCCGGCTCTCCCAATGTTGTTCTGATCCGCGAAAATAAAGACTCCCACGCCGCCATTGGCACCTTTGATTACAGCGACCTGAACGCCTACCTTCTACTCGTCGTTGGACTTGCTCGCCCAGACAATTCCGAGTCATCCTTCAATGATCTCGCACAAAAGGGCAGAGAAGGCAAGCCTGTGCCTCTGAGAGACGTCAAGGACTTGGGCAAAAAGGAGCCCCTCATCACTCTTCCGCATACCGCCAACCTGACCAAGGCCGTGGAGATTTTTGGCAGCGGAATCCACCGCATCATCATTGTCAAGGAGCACAGCCAGGAGGTTATCGGCGTGTTGAGCCAACTGCGCCTTGTCGGTTTCTTCTGGATGAATGGCAGGAATTTCCCCGCCGTCGACTACCTCTACCCGCAGACTCTGAGAGAGCTGAGCATTGGATCGCAGGCCGTCGTTTCTATCAAGTAAGTGCGCATGAGAGATTGACTGAATTCCGCTTACGCAGATTCCAGCGGTGATCGGCCAGTGACAGAAGCCCTGGAGATTATGCACAATGAGGGAATTACTTCTCTCCCTGTCGTCGACAATCAGATGAATGTTGTGGGCAATATCTCTCACGTCGACGTCAAGGTATTTCAATTTCTTGATGCGTCTGACCCACGCTAATGAGAACTTCAGCTGTTGACAAAAACGACTTCTCTGCCTCTCCTCCGCTCTTCGTGCATCCACTTTATCTCTGTCATCCTTTCGGAGCGGGGTATGAATGATGGCAAAGACTCATTCCCCGTCTTCCACGTCACACCACAATCCACCCTTGCGCACACTGTGGCAAAGCTCGTGGCGACAAAATCCCACAGGTATGTCTCGCAGCGTCGTCATTTAGGCCTTCCAAGCTAAACAAGTTTAGAATGTGGGTAACGACACCCCCATCCCCCGCTTCATCAGGTCCTCCAACGCCTGCCGCAACGCCAGCACAGCCCGCCTTTTCTCCTCCCTCATCAGGCGTCCTTTCGCCTCCAAACTCGTCATCCTCTACTCCAGCCATCGACATTCCTTCTCCAGCAGCCCCTGACATCCACGTTGCTCCCCCGAACCCGTCAGCGACGCCGCCCTACCCTCACGGCCCACACCATGCACATCACCCACATTCGTCCATCTCGACGCCCTCGCCGTTGCCCATGCTTTCCATTTCTGCTGCCGCGCTGCCTGGCGCCAGCCTCTCGGGTCACTTGACGGGTGTCATCAGTTTGACAGACATACTCAACTTGTTTGCGCGAGCCAGCGGACTCAGTCCGCACGACCCCAACGAGACGAGGCGCGCGCGGAGACGAAGCTCAAGTGTCAGCGTGCGAAGCAGCCTCGATGGCGTGCGGGAGGTAAGGGACATTGCCGGCAAGAGGTAGGAATGACAGGGGAATGCGGAGGAGGGTTCCATCACATTTGGAAAATTGCGGAGGTGCCATGTGGAGTGATGATGCATGATGATCGACAGCGGGCTCCTGAAGGCTGACGGAGCGAAGGAAAAACACATTTGCTTTATTTCATCTTCTTGCGTGCATAGGGAGATTTGTGGGTGTTTTCTTTTTTGAAGGAAAGCAAAGTCTTGGGATCTCTGGTTGGTTGCTAGGCTTGGCTGGTTGAGAGGGAGCATCATGAGTGATTGACTGCAAAGCAAGGAAAGGAAAGGGGGGACTTGAGCGAACGAGGTTTTGACATTACGGCCATCCGCGATTCATGCACCCAGTCTATATTTCAATCAATATTCAGAAGTACCGCGTGGTGTGCATCCGAGTTGTGAGAAACATGCCCCCTGATTGCTGGCCTGGGACTTGGAGGGGGAGTTCACGCCACGGCTTTTTTAGAATTCTCCCATTTCTAGTTCTCCGACGCAGAAGAAGGAACGACTGGCGACTGCCTTGACAAACCCTCTCCCCCGCCTTCCCTTCTCCCTCTCTATCCCGCGGTCAGTCCAAGTAGTTGTAAATCCAACATTACCCGGACATCCCACTCATCTTTCGCGTCGTTCTTCCTCTCAGTTAGACACTTGGTCTTCTCCATTCTGTACCAACGCTGCTGCTGCTGCTGCTGCTGGCGAGACTCGTGGTATCCGCCAACAAAAAAATCTTCTACTTCCTTTCCGCACTTGCGACTAGTTTCAGCAATTTTGAAAGAAAATGGAGACGTGCATGTTCATGACCAGGGCCTTCGTTCTCTCTCGACAACGAACCGACAAAAGAAACGACCGTTCCGAATCCAGCACTTTGGGAAAGGAAGAAGAGTAGGACGCGTCATGTGTGTATTGTATGGAAAGACGAGCGAGCCGGCCGACGCTGTGAGTCGTAGGCACACTTGCATTAACCGATAGAGATGGAGCCACGATCGTCTACGAATCATTGCATGGTTAAGAGGCGAGAATGGAGCAAGAGCAACAGCAGCAGATGCAAGAGCATTGCTTTGAGTGAGCGGCGGCATGGTGTGGTGTGGTGGGGGTAACATTGCGAGATCAGATTCAGATTGACTGGTGCACTCTCTCCCCCCTGATCCACCCAGTCTCAAGAAAGGAAGCGCATGCGAGAATTCTGTCCCTTCAAACCCCGAATCTCATACCCACTGCTCGCACCACCTTCCCCCTTGCCGTCCAATCGTCATCAATCACTTCTTGCCCGCAGGCGCGTCGCCGTGTTGGCCGTGGGACTTGGTCTCAGGAGGGTCGTTCTTGTCGGCAGCCGATTGGGCTTTGGCCGCGAAGCCGCCGGCGCCCATGTCTTTGCCGGCGGTCGCCTGGGGAGAATGTTTGGTTAGTTATGAGTTTGGGAAGGGGTGGGTTGTTCAGCTGGACTGGAAGGGAGAGAGTGGGAGGGAGTGAGTGCGTACCTGCGTCGACATGACGCGCTCCTTGTCCTCTTGGGTGAACTTGTTGTCTGGCATTTTGATGTTCGTGACCGAAGAGATGGTTGTTGATGAGGGGGTTGGAACTGAACAGGACTTTAGTGTTGAAGGTCGAGTCGCCCAGATCGGGAATGGAGAAAAGAAAAGAGCCGAAGATGGAACATCAAATGACGCCCTTATACTCCTCACCAAGCTACCCGTCTTCACATGCGTGCGCCTCTTGCGATCCCGTTTTGGAAACGCACGATAATAAGCTTGGTGGTAAGTTGGTAATAGACGTACTGCAAAGAAAGCGTAACCCAACCCGTTCGGGAAGCGAGAGAGCGGACGAATCGCGGCTTTCGGATAGTGGGTAGGTGCGTAAGTTGCCTTTTCGTTTTGAGATAGACGTACTGGTCAAGGGAGGGTGATGGGTGCATAGAGGGGAAGGGCAAGGGGAGAACGCGCGGTGGGGATGGATCTGACCCCGGCGGGTTGGGAAGGCGTGTGGTCAGCTTTCCTGAATGGGGAATCCGCGTGGGACAGAGAGGTCGGTGG